ATTTCATGGGCTCTTGGCTTTGTTGGCTTTGGGTCTGTGGCCAGGCCGTACGCTATGGTGGGGGGTGTGGTAAAGAAGGGCAGCAAAAGGGGGCAGGAAGGGGCTAAAGTCCCACTGTCCCCTTTAAGGTCATGACCTAATTTCATTAGGCCCACCTCCTCCTGAAGGCTCCACCACCTCCCAACAGGGCTGCGATGGGCTCCGTGGCTTCAGCACGTGGACCTCTGGGAGATGTCCCAGATTCAACTGTAACACCGATTTGCACAGGAGTAGCCAGGGCCTTGCCAGGACAACAGGCCCCTCAAATCAGCTTAGACAGGGCTGGCTCTAGAATGATAACTCTTTTTGGTAAACTACATTTTTGGTTTCACACTTTTGGAGCCACACTTTCAGCAGAGAGAGTGGGCAGGAATGTAGCTGTGCACGTGTTCGTCCTCACCCTGTGAGCACAGCAAGAAGGATGAAGGAAGGCAGAGGGTCCTAAAGAAGGGACGCAGGGTCCATGGGGACTTGGAAGAGGAGACCACACAGGGATGGTGGGGCTGGCCAGGAACTTCAAGAGAAGGGAGCGCTAGCCTTGGGCTCTCATTTTTAAAAGGTGTCAGGTTGTAAGACTTTCCCCTGAGAGTTCCAAAGGAGCAGTAAGTTCAGTAAGGCTCGAGGGCTGGCTCTTCCCACTGAGATCTTCCCTGTGGTCTTCAGTGAAGACCTGTGCACCCTGCACGAGACTGGGTGAGACTGGATGGGCAAGGCTAAAGGTGGGACAGCAGTTACAGTCCTGTTTTCTTTAGTAAACTTTGGCTACATGGGGTGGAGAGGCAACAACTGAAGGTCATAGGAAGAGTGGGCTGACTCCCTCAGTTTTTACCTCAGTTTTTACCAAAGCTACACCCTTTGAGACCCAGGTGAGACGTGGGCATACGGTAGCCACCACTGTTTCATGGAAAATGCTACAAACAAAAGTGCAGCCCCGTGTGTGGCTGGGAGGCCCTGCCATGTAGTAAGTGACTCTGAATAGAAACACTTGGTGAGGGCCTGGGCACCGGGCAGCCAACCCCAACTTTCCATCCCTCAGTTTCTCTACTTCCCTGTAATGTGACAGTGCTTTTTGTACTTCTCTTCTTTCTGGTGCCTGGAGGATTAAATGCGACGCTACATGAGAAGTTCTTGGTGGAGAAATTGGCTGAATTAGTTTCCTACGGCTACACCAGCAGAGCAACACAAACTTAGCAGTCCAAACAACACAAGTGTTGCGTCTTCTGGTTTGTGAGGCTGGAAGTCAGAAATTGGTCTATCGTCATGTTGCTGACAGAGCTGTGTTCTTTCTGGAGGATCTGGGGGAGAATCCATTTCCTTGCCTTTTTGTTTTTGTTTTTGTTTTTGTTGTTGTTTTTTTTTTTTTTGGCTTTTTGAGACAGGGTCTCACTATGTAATTGAGACTGACCTGGAACTCACTATGTAGCCCAGGCTGGTCTCGAACTCACAGCGATCCTCCTGCCTCAGCCTCCCGAGTGCTGGGATTACAGCCATGTACCATGAAATGTTTGTTTGTAATTATGTTGACTTACTCCAAACAAGATGCTTTTGGACTTAGATACCCACACCACACAGACACGTACCGCATATTTTCTAAGTGGCAGGCATTGTGCTCAGCACTGACAATATAAATATGGCTAAGACGTAGTGTCTTGCTTCAGAGGGGTGCACCTTTGATGAGGAAGACGGGTAAGCGAGATGATTCCAATGCAGACATCTTTGCTGCTGGTGCTTCCTTTCCCAGTGGTGAGCACTTGGCAGTGTCTCGGCAGGTCCCTCTCTGAGAGTCCTTTCTACTCCCTCTCACGTTTCCACTGGTCCCAGCTTAGAGCTTGGCAGAGGCAGCCAGGCAGGCTATGTTTTCTTTTTTTCTAATTTTTGTGTGGCTGCATCACGCTATCTGGAGCAGCGGCATTTAATATTCACTGAAGTCACCTCAGACAGCAGCGAGCTTTATCCTTGATGGAAAGAAAGAAAAAAGGAAATGAGTCACCGTAGGCTGGAGATCAGGGAGGGAGGGCGGGGTGTACAGTTGAGCCTGGTCTCTTTACCATGTGCTTATGGACTAATCCTGAAGGGTAGTTGCAAGAAGCCTCAGCTCTATGGAACCCTGCACCGTGGTAAACTCTGAGTAAGGAAAACTGAAAACTAAGTAGCACTCATACATTAAAGGATAATCCTTTGTTAAGTTGTTGTCTTTAATTTCACACTTACTCTCCGCGTTAGCAGCATAAGTACTATTTAAGAGCGAACCACAAAATAACCAAGAATGAATGCCTGGAACCAAAGATAGACAGCCTGACCCTGAGAGCTAGGTGAGCCACTGTACTGAGCAATGTCTCCACCAGTCCTGTTTGCTCACGCCCTTAATCTTAGCGCTTGGCAGGCTGAGGCTGGAGGATCTCTGTGAGTTCCAGGTCAGCCTAAGCTATGGACTGAAACCCTGTCGCAACAGAATAAACAACAAAAGAACCATCTCTCACCTGGTGGTGAGGAGAGGTAACGAGGTGCTTCGTATCTCACCTGTCTGTGGTAAGCACAGCTATGCACACGGGGCAGGAAGCCGGAGAAAAGCCTTTTATTTACTTCTAAGTTATCGGACTGCTTCACTTGTATCATGTGCAGTCTCTCTTTTTTTTTTCCCCTGCCCTCCCTTCACCCCCTCCTCCCCTCCCCATCTACAAACACTTTATTTTCATCTTTTCATTATCTCACATTTTTTTCTTTTCCTACACCTTTAGCTCCTTTCTTCCCATGTGCAGTCTCTTGACCAAGCCTACTTTTAACTGCAATGTAACCTCATTTTGTACATATTCCCAGCTACAGAGTTTGCATTGCTTATCTCAGTGAGAGGTTGTTTGCATGGAAAGATTAATAACATTGATTAGCTTTCTAATATTTTGCACTTTTGAAATGTGCTTTGTTTGTTTTTTGTTTTTTGAGACAGCGTCTCACTACGTAGTTGAGACTGACCTGGAACTCTCTGTGTAGCCCAGGCTGGGCTCGAACTGACAGCGACTCTCCTGCCTCAGCCTCCCGAGTGCTGGGATTACAGCCATGTACCATGAAATGTTTGTTTTTTGCATGATTATATTTAAAACTTTGGTAAATGTTGAAATAAAACTGTACCGACCAGTTGCTTAAAAACATAGACGTAAGATACGGGGATAATAATAATTACCTATAGGTGTTACAGAGCTCACAAGAAGGGTGGAGGGGAGGAAATAAAGGAGAGAGTTCTTGGAAGAGATGACATTTGAACTGAACCTTTAAGGGTGAGTAGAAATTTTCTCTCTTGAGGGAAGAGGAAGAGGTTGCATGGGCAGTGAGAATAGTATGGAAAGAGAGTTAAGGAGATGTGCATTGCTTGTGCATTGCTGCATAGCGAATTATCCCAGATCCATCAGCTTAAAACAATGCACATATCTGTTGTCTCATATTTGTGTGAGTCAGGCTTCGGGCCCAGTTTAACTGGGTTTATTGCTTCGGGGTTTCGTTGGCTGCAATACCTATAGTTTATGACAAGGTTGTATTCATGAAAAACTTTTCCCCATGTAGTGCATAATCTCTATAGCACATTTTGATACGCTTTTTAGTTTACTTTTCCAACTGCTCACCAAACACTGTGGTTCAGTGTCCCTTTTTGTTTTGGAAGGAAGTAAGCATTGACTGAAATGCGTGACACTGACCTTGGAGACTGTGTTGTCACTGATTTCTTCTGAGTTTTTAAATGTTTCCCTCTGAACGGTCATGGGAGGAACGTGATGTCGACACTTTCCCAGGTAACAGCCTAAATCAACAAAAGCTCAGGAATGTAAATTTTGACAAGGTTGGATTTGATGTTTTGCAAATCTCAGGAAACTGTTAGAATTTTCAAGTGAGACCTTGGAAACAGAGAATTCAAACTTTTGGATTTATTTGAAGTTTATAACTTATTCTTTGTGTCGATTCCAAGGGGGAATCAATATCCTCATAGATTATCTTCTCATGGTCTTTCGATTAACCTGTTCAGAGCAGGCTCTGGAATATCCAGGGCTTTTAGTGAGATGCGATGTGATGTATTCATGAGATGGACAGTCCTAATTTGGATTTACACAGTGCACTAGGCTTCTGTAGAGGAACAGGATCAATATCAAATATATGTACAGTCACACAAAAGGACTTATTAGGTCTGTATACAGGATCTGAGATGGAAAGGACACCACGGCCACCTGTGGGTTCAGAGGCTGCAGAATCTAAAACGGCCACCTGTGCACAGGAGAGCCAGAGGATCCAACAGCAGTCGAAGACTAGAGGCCTGGAAGTTCACTGTCGTGTCTTGAGTGTGAATGTGATTGGTAGGTAGAAGACTCTGTGGGCTTTTTGGGGGGGGCATTGAGACAGGATCTCACTATGTAGTTGAGACTGACCTGGAACTCACTATGTAGCCCAGGCTGGTGTCCGAACTCACAGAGACCCTCCTGCCTCAGCCTCCCAAGTGCTGGGATTGCAGGCATGTGCCACCATAACTGGCTAAGAATCTGTGTTTTAAGGTAGAAAAACTGGAGCCCTGTGTCCAAGAGCAATAGTGAAGACAGAAGCTCTTCCCAAAAAGGGAATGTTTCCTTACTTTTCAATTTTGTTCCATCCAGACTATAAGCCTATTGGTTGGCGCCACCCATGTCAGGGTTGGGTCTTCTGCCCTCAGTTTTCAGCGTGCATGTTATCTGCTAGGCAACCCCTACCCACAGCGAGCTGATGCATCACCATTAACAGTCACACAGTGTTTCAGAGACAAGGGCTGGGTCATTATTCTTCTGGCGATGTTATCTTTGGAGCCACCCTGCCGCTTCCGAATTCTCCAGCCCCCACACTGCGGGGTTTTGTTGTGTTGGAGCCACTTCTGAGAGAGGACCTTGGGCTCCTTTTCCAGTTTTTCCATTCTGACGTCTCTAGCCAAGTTTCCTGGTGAAAGTTCGCTAGGAGTGCTCACCTAGGCAGCACATGTACTAAAATTGGAACGGCACAGAGAAGGTTAGCACGGCCCCTGTGCAAGGATGGCACGCAAATTTGTGACGCGTTCCATATTTTTGTGTAAATAAGAACTAAAAGGTTTAATAGAGAATGTGAAATAGGAAGAAGAAGGGAGCGAGAGGGGTGGGGAAAGCAAAGAAGGGAAGGGAATGAATATGAGAACATGGAAAATAATAGAAACAAAGTCTCTGCAGATAGGGAGGGAGGGAGGGACGGAGGGAGGGTTGGGAGATGGGGAAAAAACAAGAACCAGGATAGATTATGTAAAGGTGCAATTTCCAATGATGAACGTCATTACATTGTATACATAAAATGTACCACCAATAAAATTAATTTTGTTTTTGTTTTTTTTGAGATAGGTTCTCACTATGTACCTGAGTCTGACCTGGAACTCACTAGGTAGCTCAGGCTGGTGTTGAACTCACAGCAATCCTCCTGCCTCAGCCTCCCAAGTGCTGGGATTACAGGAGTACGCCACCACGCCCAGCTTGCTTTCTTTCTTTCTTTCTTTCTTTCTTTCTTTCTTTCTTTCTTTTTTTTTTTTTGGTACTGGGGATCGAACTCAGGTCCTTGCACTTGTGAGGCAGTTGCCAGAACCACTGAGCTAAATCCTCAGCCCAATAAAATTAATTTTTATAAAAGGGCTACTGAGAAAAATCAAATGATCTACACAAGAGTGATGTTTGACTTATAGCTTATTAATAATACCAATGGAAGCCAAACAGATCATAAAATAATATTTAAAATGTTGACTATATATCTAGTAAATATCAATGCACTGCATTTTACATATCTTTGTATATTTATATATAATTTATTATAAATGTATTTATAATTATATATATAATGAAAGTATTGAAAAACAAAAATTGTTTTTATTATCCACAGATGGGTGTGACAGAAATATGGAAATATATATTTCAGAAAGAATACAAATGATTCCAGATAGAAGACCTGAGGTGCAGAAAGGAAAGGAAACCTGCAAATTGGCAAATCTGAAAGTAGGTATAAAGACACAGTGACTGGGTGAAGCCTGATGATGTCTAAACTGGGGATTAAACAATAGGACAAAACACTCAGTGCAAGAGGCTTATAAATCACTGCAAAGATGATCCAAGGTTAAAGCATTCTGCAGTTCTTGAATTCATTCCGACAAAGGTAAAAATAATGATCAGTTTTAGATTTCTTAAGTTTTCATGCTTGAAATTCTAGGGAAATCATCATCTTTTACCTCTCAGAAGAGAAATAAAATTCATAAATACTGTAATATCCAAGTTATCGGGGGTGTGAGGGAGAAAAAAGGCAAGTAGCAACAATAACAACAAAAACTGGCATAATTACATAATTATTTAACAAAATTATCCTGAAACAATATTTAGTAAAGGTAAAATGAATCACAACATGATATATATGATCTAAATCACCAAGAAGTTACTACATTTTAAATTTACATAATTTAACCAGATCATATCTAAAGCAAAGTTTGTTAAGAATATGAGGAGAAAAAACAATATGAAGAATAAAAATAAAAAGTAGGTCTACCACCACAGGGAGAATTTTAACTCACCCGTTTTAGCAATCAGTAAACAGATTAAAAAACCAATGAACATATAGAATATTTGAATAACATAATTAAACTAGATCAAATATTATATTTATAATTAACTCCCAAATCAACATTCTTTTTATGCACATATGGATAATTTATGAAAAGTTGTCATTAGGCTGCAAAGCAAGTCTTAATAAATTTAACGGATTGGCAACATACAGAGCACGCTGACCATAAAATTAACATTTTGTTACTTGCTAATATTTTAAAAAGTAGAAAAATTTATACATGTGAAACTTTTTGAAAAATATATTAAGTAATCTGTATATCTGAAATTAAATATTAATAAGATATCTGAATTTATGAGACACAGTTGAAGTAGGATTTGAAGGTAAGTTTAAAGTTACAAATTTGTTTTAGGAAAAACAAGACCCAGAATTAATGAGTCCAGTATCCAATTTAAGAGCTAAAGCACAGTGAAGCAAACTCCAAGGCAGTAGAAATACAAACTAAGAACAGAGAGGAAGAATCAATAAAACCAAAAGATATTTGTTTGTAAATAATAATAAGGTTGGTGAAATGCGGGCAAGAGGAACAAGAAAAAAGAAACAAGCCAAACAAACAAACTATGTAAATAGCTACGGATAGGTCAGAGATGAAAAAGAATGAGAAACTATGAATGCTTCTTACAATAAAAAAAGTTTAAAAGGTCAGACGAAGTGGGAAAATTACTCAAAATATATAACTTACCACCCACGAGTCAAGAAGAAATGGAAAAGCTGAGTAACCCTGTAGCCATTAGTTAGTAGTGAAAAATCTTCCCAAGGATAGCAGGGTGCCTACCTGATTCGATAAAGTCTAACTAGCAAGAAATGGATGCTTTTCAGTCTTATTGAAATGTTTCCAAAAATACTGAGTTGGGAGCAGTTTTGAGTTCTTTTAAAGAGGCCAGCAGAACTTTGATGCCAAAGCAGAACAGGAAATTGTATGAAAGGTAGAGCTGTAGGCTGCTGTCACTCTTGCATGGATATATAGCAGCAGAGACCCTGTGCAAACTGTCGGGGGATTAAAATCCAGGCAATAAGAAACACAGCATCTATCTGACCTGGTCTGTGATAGATGTGAAAGTGTGGGTTAACATTAGAACACTGATTAGTGTGACTCAGAGCAACGAAGAATAGGTAAAACTATAGGATCATCTCTATGGATGTAGAAGAAAACACTTGGTAGGATTTGACATCCATTCATGATTTTAAAAATACTTATCACACTAGAATAGACTAAAACTTTTATCTACCTGGGGAAAATAACTAGAGAAAAGCTCACACCATACTTTATACAAAGAAAGAAAAGAAGAAAGGGCATCTAAAGTTATTATTTTCTTTATTGTATATGAGGGCCTAGCTACCGAAGCAAGGCAATATGGGCAAATTACACCTAGAACTAGTAGACAGGAAGCACATAACTAGAAACTTCGACATAGCACTGGAAAGTAAGCCATACATAACTTAATAAGGTACACTAGCAAAACTGATGCAGACAAAACCAACACGAAACTAATTGCTATTCTGTACACAAGCAACAGAAAAAAAATTAAACATTTAAAAACATTCAGTATCAACAAATTCCAAGTAACTGACTGAGAACCCTATTATAATATAGGCAATATCTCTAGGGAGAAAAGCATAAATCTTTACAGAAAAAATTCACTTAAATGAAGGCAGAGATATATTTTCATGGTTTGCAGGATTTAACATGATCAAATTTCAAGTCTCAAATTGATCTCTAGATTGTTCTATAGATAAGCAATGCTACAGGTTGATTTTTCTTGCTATTATCGTCATTTTTCATTTAAATAGAACTTGACTAACTCGAAAGTGTATATGGAAACACACAGGGTTGTGGATAGCCAGAGAATTCCTTAAAAGAAGGCGAGGGACCAACCTGTTAAATAGCAGCCTTTATTGCAAAGCTATAGAAATGAGGCCGATGTGATATTGTCATAGTGATGAACACACAGACCACTGGGACAGAAAGAGAACCCAGGAATAGAGCCGTACACACGAGCACTAGGCATGTGGCAGCAATAATATTACAGTTCAGTGAATGAAAGAGTTTTCATCAAGGGTGCAAGGACATCAGGTTATCCATATGAATAAACACAAAGCTCGGTTCCTTCCTTATACCAAATACTAAACCAGCTCTGCAGAGTCTCAATGTAGAAATGAAAGGCAAAAGCACCAAACCCTTGGAAGGGTTCCTGGCGATCAAGAACAATTTCCTCAAGATACGAGTCAAAACAAACGAAAAGATCAAGTCTACTGCATTAATATTTAGAATTTTCATTTATGCATGGAAAGGGAAAAGGGGGAAGGGAGAGAAATGAAGAAAGAAAGGGTGGGGAGAGAGAGGGAGAGAGAGAGAGAGAGAGGGAGAGAGAGAGAGAGAGAG